TTTACTTTAATCAGTGCAATCATTGGAAAATAGATTTTTCCGTTTTACTCAGGTTAGCTTCGGGTGACATTAAAAATGGTTCAATGCATATACATGGGGAAAAAAAGCAAGACCAACCTGTAAGGATTCACATTGGAGCTGAAACCATGAATCAAATTAATAGTGATTAATCAATTATTGATATAAGTGTCAATTACTTTGGAAATTAGAATGAATTACTAAGTCTAATGGTACACAGACTCTGAAAATGCACTTAATGGAAAAAATGACCCCCTCACAGCAGTAAGACAAAACTACAAAAAATGTAAATATATTCCATTAAGGATAATAAAATCCTATTTATATGTTTGTACACATGTACTCATACTATAAATGCTCAAGCCATTTAATTAATAATTGAATTTTATTAATCTCACACTGGAGAAATTCACCTCTGCATTTGACCCATCCCCTTGCAGTCTGTGAGAGTGGGGGATCGACTCAGATCCTCTGGGGGCCAAGGGCAATACCCTAATCACTAGGCTGCCACTCAACTAAAATGTGCTATAAAATGTTTATTTTCTAAATTCCAAACAACTTTGTTATTCGTATTTATTGTCTTCAGTTTTATCCGGGAACGGGCTTTGGTTATGGCAGTCTCAGCAGAGATTCCCGGACTTTCCTCTCCTCAGAAACCTGCTAGATCATCCCCCGGGCCTCCTCCCAGTGGGACGGGCCTGGAACAACTCCTGAAGGCATTCACATTCTATGTCAGTTTAAGTGTCTGTGGATCAGGTTGCTGAAGCTTCCGCCTCTAGCTGTTGTCCAGTCCTCTTAGAACCGGACCCTCATAGTTCCCCCTGCAGGTGTTGGGTCTGTTTGTCTTAGGAGACCCTACCTTGGGCATTTAAGCCCTCTACCATTGCTAGTGGCGTCAGCTGTAATACATGGACTTCCAATCCTGAGGCTGTTGGTTTGAGACCCACCTTAGACTTTGGGGAGGTTGTAGTTTAGTGGTTAGTGCATAGAGCTTTGAATCCTGAGGCTCTGAGTTTGAGCCCCACAGGTTGCCAGGTTGAGCCAACGCTGCACATTAGCTGGCAGCCTTATGAAAAACAAAAATTATAAAAGCCTGTAAGCTAATCCAGCTCATGAGGTAAGTCACCTGTCCTGTTAAAGGGAGGCCTGGGTTCGTATCCCAGCTTGGGGGAATGAGCAAATACCCTCAACCCCACACTGCCCAGGGCGGCGCAAAATGACAGCCCACAGCCATAAATAACATAGCTTAACAGGAGGGAAATCTTTTTTATTTAGAAATGTTAATTTACTGACCTCTCTCTTTTTAGATTATAATCGATTAGTTAAAAAAATAAATAGATGAATTAGATAGAAATTAGTCGATAGGTACAACCCTATTCCACATGCTCTTGGACAGTATTGTATGTTATCTCTTCTTAGTTTTTTTTTATTCCTTTTTTAATTAGTGCTTTCCATATAAAAGTTCACAAACACAATTATACAAACCATTACTTGGCTATAAATGGCCGTTTATATTTCCCAAACCCTACCAATGTGAGAGACATTCATGGTCATTAAATGATAGCTTAGCTGATTTGGCACAACTGCCCACACACATCGTCAAAAAAGCACAAAGTGAAAGACTCTCACGCCCTGATATTTACATTAACAACGGGCAGCTTTCTGACACGTACCAACCTGCACTCACTGCCTTCGCTATAATACTGTTGGTATTTAGACAGTGTCATCTAAACCTCCCAAATATAAACTTGCCTGAACATATTGCACCTTCGCTCTGTTTGGCAGCTACTTACCAGCAAAGTCATCACATGAATCAGTAACCTCCCTTCTTCTCTGCACAGAACTTTGGGTCAGAGACGGTTTTGCGAATCCCCCCCCATGCACATGTGCTAGACTTTTAGACCAATGTGGTGTTGGGGGGGTTATCAGTTACTTCAGTGCCCACAAAGTTACTCTACAATTATTATAATGACAACATCACTGCAATGCTTAAACCACCAGCACCGGCGCTTTTAAGCTGTCATTACCTTCTGTCATTACACTCCCACATGAATGCTGGGAATTTCTCACTGAAGTGAGAGATCTTTGAGAGTGCGAGAGAATCTAGTCAAACAACCCCCACACCCTTACCCCATCAGCATGTGTTTCTTTAATGTGATGGGCCAACATAACATCAGGTAAATAGAATGATATGTAAATAAAAATCTGATAGCATTGTGCTTGCTTTATTCTGATGTCTCTAATCGACAGCCGCTGAATGCCACAAGCACTGAAAAGAGCAAACATGATGAAGATGGCAGTCTGGTCGGGTATAACGAAAACTTCTGGCCAGCAAGCTCAATCTGTTTTAAAGGAACCTAAGGCTCTGTTCACATGGAGATGAGATTGGGCGAATCTTTAGAGGTGCTTGAACGTTTAGAAGGGGCATCCGCAAAGACCTGGTGTTTTGGTAGAGTGAAAAAGGTCAAAATGCCAGTTTCTGGTATTCATGTGTAGAACCGTGATGAAATGTAACATCAAAGTTTATTAGTGTAAAATACTTTTGCGAGGCCCTTTATCAACATGTGTTGCCACCAGGCTGTTCACATAAAACCCATTTAGACTTGACACAAGATCCCTCTGTAGACTTTTTAAATGTAATTTCAGCTGAAACCCTTTGTCTTCCTGCACAACAACCTACTGTAGGCTTCCCCGGTGCAACCTGCAGGTTGAGAGTGTATTACATATGCCAGTAATAAGAACGATTGTGTCTCCTGACCATGTCTGGAGGGGCATTAGTTCCCCGGTCCCTCCATGCATTCCGTGGTTCATTTGCACCTTTGTTGTTTCTGTCTCTGTTCCACCCGATTCAATCTGATTTCTGCCCCTCCACTGGCCTCGGCCCTCCCCTTCTTGTCCCTCCCCTCTTCCTCCCTCCTCCCCAGCCTTCCCTGCATCCTTTGCTGCACCTTATCGCCCTCTCTCCATCTATCCAAATTTTCTTTATTGGCATGACAGGGACCGGTGGTTGGCGACAGCCGCCGTCACGGTGGAACAATGCGCTGCGATGCTGATTTTCATATGATAACAGCATCAGACCCAAAACTGCAGAGATCTACGCATTCAGCTTTCTTTTGCTTTTTGTCCTCTGTCTGCTCATTTTTTTCTTCACCTGCATAATAGCTGTGTTTGTTTTTTAAAAGACTATATAATCTCATATTATTGTGGCACTCTCTGCTAACCTCTGCTCCAACACGTCTGTCTTTTTTAAGCACCTCCCTCCACCCCAGCACCGTGTTGACAATCAAATTAAATCATTTTCATTCCCATGGCCTCTGACAATGTTGTTCTGAAGCTGCCCTGTTTGTAACAGCACTGTATATATCGCCCCGTCTGCCTCTTCTCTTTCTCTGTGTCTGCCTCCCTTCTCATATTTTTTCCCCTTGCTCTTCGCCATGTTGGCAGGGCCCAATCTACCAGCTGATATCAGCATTCCCTGGCACTCTGCCAACTGGCAACACTGCAGGAGAGAGAAAAAAATAGGGAGAGAGGGAGCGAATGAAAGAAAATTAGTGAATAATAGACGGCGGGAGGGTGCGAGAGGATGAGAGGGGGATGGGAGAAGTATGAATCAGGGAGAGAAAGAAGAGACAGACAAGAGGGGGAATGGAAGATGGGGAGAGAAAGAACAATAATGGTGGATTAAGAAAGTGTGTGCTATGTGTGAGTGTTCATGTGATTGATATGGGGTGATATCCCTGTGAGTCATAGCTGAGCTAAAATGTCAACTGGCTACATGAGAATCTCTTTGTCATACAGCCTCAGCGGCACACACAGGCAAACACACACGCGTCCTACAAACACATATATGATCCCGCCGCCATTCCAATGCCCACAAATCTGCCACACCTGCGAGCACAGATGTTCCATTGTTTTTGCCACATTGATTTATGACCTTTTGTGTTGTTGTGAGTGCATTCGCCGCTCCTCTACTGCACCGAAAGATGGGCAAAAAGCTTCGCCTGCATGTGCAGAAATCCAGTCAAACTGCTCTGCTATCCAAATTATTTTGGGGTGTGTGAGCAAGAGCTTGCCAAAAAAAAAAAAAAAAAGGCTCAATATGCTGTATATCACACTTCACATTTTAGCTGACAGTGTTAACTCGGATGACAGTCGCAGTGCAGTCAACACAATAGTAAAAACGCTTACATTTGTAAATTACCTAAACAAGTCGCCATGACTAAGCAAAGTATGGGTGACTGCAACCACACCCGTTCGGAGGATTCAAGAAATCTTGCATCGCAGTTAATGCATGCTCTGTGTGCATGGCGTCCAGATTTAAGCAGAAAAGGCTGCTACTGGATGTGTGTACAGGAAGGGTGTGTGGGGAAGTCAAAACACTGCGCGCCCATCCTGTTTGGGACAGTCCGTGTCCTGCAGTGGTGCCCTTAACTTCTAAACAGACGCACACACACGTACACACCGCTGCGCAGTCACACTCCGGCTAATCATCCCATATGTGCTGACAGTATGCGGCAGAGTCCCGCGAGCACATGTAGGAGGAAGAACAGGTGCACACCTGTTACACGTTGAAGTGTATGCATGCACCCACTCAGGCTGAGGAGTAAATTAAGATCAAGTCATGAGCTTCTTTTATGTAGACACACTGAAACACATTTAAACCAGTGAGCAACCGTGTCTGTCGTTTTGTGGTTGAAAAAGGGTGATGGAACGAGTTCAAATGCCTTCATTGTAAATTGCTTTTAATCCTATTCTGAAAAAAAAAACCTGGCACCTCTGGTTTGATGCTCAGTATTTCAAATCAGTGCCTCCTCCTCTTACATGAATTTACCCAAAGCTTCTAAAAATCACAAAGATGAGGTTTGTTTTACAGCTGAGCAAGAAAGCAAGCTCAATTTTATTTTTATTTTTTTTTAAGTTTGAGATATTTCTGTTAAATAGTTTGTCCACTAATTTGGTTTATTTACTTTTGTTGTTCCCAGGAAATTATTGAAGAAGGCTGCCTCAGAAGCGTATCCGCCCTTGGCCAAGACACTAAAGAATGGCATAACATCACACACACTGCTGGTAAATTTCTACTCTTGCCTTATAGACCAGATGTATATGTTAAAGACATACAAGGATCAGCATTTAGAAAGCGAAAAATTAGAAAGCAGAAACTCAGTTGGAGATAGAGGGGTGGAAGTGTTAGGGTGAACAGTTTTTCAAAGATATGTTATTCTGGTTTTGTTGTCTTTCAGTGATAGAGGATGGATTCTCCACCAGAGTGTGTTTTGTCTCTTACATGTGAGCAGCCCCAGTCTCCGCAAACGCTGCCATCTCTTGACCACAGCCCTCAACCATCCTCTCCTTTACCCGACAGCCCAGTTGTACTTCCGATCCCTAGCCCTGAACCTTCCCCGCAGAGTCCAGACACAACGCCGTACTTCCCCCTCTCTCCCTTCCCCCTCCAAGAGGTCAACAATAATGACTGCCTTGATCTGGATGGTGAGGATTGCGAAGAAGAACTAGATGGAATTCCATCCCCAACCCCAGCAGTGGCTTTGTTTCCAGGTGGAGGAACTCAAGACGTAGGATGCGGCCCAGGTTTGGATTCTTCCCCACCAGACACACCATCAGCTCCGTTCCTCGGGTATGGCGCCCTGGAATTGGCCCTTTCTTCAGGACAGGGAGGAAACTGCAGTGATGAATTAGATCTCCAACTGTTCCAGAAGGAAACTGTTACTAGGGCCATACCTGGGGCTGGAGGGGCCTCACCTGGGCCTGCGCTCAGGTTTCCCTGTCGTGTGTGTGGGAAGAGGTTTCGATTCCAAAGCATTCTCTCCCTTCATGCTAGAGCACATAGTTTGGACCGGGACCGAAAATCTTCATCGCTTTACAGCACTAGACCTCCCTCATCTTCCCTGAAACAGCACCTAAAAATACGCCAGAACCATAAAGATTTTCTCTCCAATCACAGAAGTGGCTCAAATCAGCGTTTACTGCCAAAAACTCTCATCCAGCACCTCACAGAGGACGAGAATGTGAATGGAGAGGATAAAGGTTTGGATGATGATCTGAAGACAGACAGGAACCCAAACTTTTTACTGGATGACAGCACACCCTTGACCCCTCCACTTACAGAAGACCCTGTATCTCTAACTTCCCCTTATTCTTCCACTGGCGAGGGCTCATCTGTTGCCACTGCACCTACGTTTCGCTGCCATGCCTGCAAGGGGAAATTCCGCACAGCTTCAGAACTGGCGCGTCACGTCCGCATCCTCCACAACCCTTACAAATGCACCCTTTGTCCTTTCTCTGCCAGCCAAGAAGAGAGTCTGGCATCTCACTTACAGGAGTGCCACCCGTCCCCCGATGCGTCTGCCTTGACAACTGCCTTCAACTGCAGGACCATCATTGACACACCAGTGCCCACACCATCACATACCCCCGCCCCTACCCCAAGTAATCCTCCGATTACATCGGCTGCTGGAGTCCCTTCCTCCTCCTCATTGCCAGCATTTCGCTGTGATACTTGTGGCCAGAGATTTACCCAGTCCTGGTTCCTGAAGGGACACATGCGAAAACACAAGGATTCCTTAGACCATAAGTGCCAGGTCTGTGGCCGTGGCTTTAAGGAGCCTTGGTTCCTTAAGAACCACATGAAAGTTCATCTTAACAAGCTCGGCCTCAAAGCCGGATTGGGACACCATAGCATTCTCATGAGTGCCGAGCAACAGTCCAAGGGCTCTGCAAGCACTCACACCCTCAACTCTTTGTACTCAAGCCTGCTTATGGCCCAGAGAGGAGGCGGAGCTAGAGGTGGAAGGTCTGACAGAGAAACTGGGGGTAGGGTTGATATGAGTTTAAGCAAGTCTGCCATCCTGGGATATCTTGGATTGCCCAGTGATGGCAGTGGGGCAAGTTGCATGGAAAGACTTCAAGCAGCAGCTCAGGTGGCAGAGATGGGAAATAGTGATGGAGGAATTGGTGGAGGCAGCAACCCTGGCAATAGAGTGGGGGGAGCATCGAGAAGCACAAGTGAAACATCAGCTATTTCAGAAGGAGGGGAACAGGCGACTTGGTGGCAGCTGGTTGCTCGTAGCCTGGCTGTGGCTCAGCATCAGCAGAGGCCACAGCAACGAGGACAGCAGCAAGGTCAGCGAGCTCCAGGTCGAAGTTCAGTGATCACAGAAGCAGACCAAATCAGGGCCTACCGATCCGGCCTGGATCCCAGAGCAGAGACAGGAGCTGGGGGACCTTGGGAATGCCCCGACTGTGGGAAGCTGTTCCGCAGCCTACAGCAGGTGGTGGTGCATGCTCGTGTCCACGCTCAGAGGCCACAGAATCGTAGCACCAGTGAAGAAGACGGGACTGCTAATCGTAGAGGAATGGGACTAGGAAGAGGAGGCAACAGTGAAGCAAGACCAGAATCCCAGCTTCACAGCAGTGGATCCCAGCAAACAGGAGATATAAGACAGGAATCAAAGCTGAACAGTGTTGGATCTCAGCAAACAGGAGGAGTCACCGGCTTTCACTCTGTTATATCAAACTTCAAAGGTATCACATCTGCATTTGTTTTTTGCTTGGTCAGATATGTTGTGTATAGTTTGACTTTCTAAGTATTGTGTTTATATTTTCCTCACTTTTTTCCTCTTTTCAAGGTGAAAACGGCTTTGGAGCAGTCTCCTCCATGCCCTCGGTTCCCACCAGGGAGCGAGTGCGTGGCAGAGGGATCAAAGACTGCCCCTACTGTGGCAAAGCCTTCCGCTCTTCCCACCATCTCAAAGTGCACCTGAGAGTTCACACAGGTGAGACGTTACTGTTGATTTAATAAGCTACTATTCACTTTTTTCCTTCAGCAATCCCTGAAAAGCCTTTTTTTTTAAGTCTTCTTTATTATTCAGAAATACTTCTTTATAGTTCTACCTCTTGACTCCAGAGAGCTGACCATTGCTAATCATAGATCTCCACTGCAGGCAAGTGAGCGGCTCCAGAGGAGCACATATTAACATTAGCTTCTAAAGAGAAAATGAAGCCATGCTAAGATAGAAAAATGAGAAATAGTTCATTTACGGAGAACCAGTACTGCCATACTCGTAAAAAAAAAAATAAAAAAATAGCTAAATGCATGATTTACTCACCTAATTAATAGTTTAACAAATTCATTAATATATCATTAAACAAAACAAAATGAAAGAGACTGGATATTTGCCCTGTTTTTGTTGTTAATTTTTCACAGACGTGAATTTATTAACAGACAGCTCAAAATGATGAAAGGTGACACTTTTAATCAGAATATCGAGTATGTCAAACTTCTGAAATATTGATTCGGTTAGTTCAGTTATAGCAGGGTTTGTTGACCAATGTCCATCATTTAGATGTTAATGAAAAGGACAACAGTGCCTCCAAATCCGAGACCATGGTCTTTAGCTGGAAAAGGGTAGAGTGCTTTCTCCAGGTTGGGGAGGATGTACTGACCCTAGTGGAGGAGTTTTAAGTATCTTGGGGTGTTGTTCACAAATGAGGGGAAGATGGAGCGGAGGATCAATAGGCTGATTGGTGCAGCGTCTGCTTTCAAGTGTGCGCTGTACCAGTCTGTTGTGGTGAAGAGAGAGCTGAGCCAAAAAGCAAAGCTCTCGATTTATTACTTTCCTACCCTCATCTATGGTCATGAGCTTTGGGTCATGACCGAAAGAACGAGATTCCAGATACAAGTTGCTGAAATGAGTTTTCTCCGTAGTGTGTCTGGGCTCTCCCTCAGAGATAGGGTGAGGAGCTCGGTCATCCAGGGAGGACTCAGAGTAGAGCCGCTGGTGAAGTGTTCCAGGCACGTCCCACCGGGGGGAGGCCAAGGACACGCAGGAGGATGCCTCGGAGCGCCTTGGGATTCCCCCGGAGGGGCTGGCCCAAGTGGCTAGGGAGAGGAACGTCTGGGCCTCCCTACTGAAGCTGCTACCCCCGTGACCCGACCCCGGATAAGCGGAAGATGGATGGATGGATGGATGGATGGATGGATGGATGGATGGATGGATGGATGGATGGATGGATGGATGGATGGATGGANAATGGACATTAGGTGAAAAAAAACAGAGAGCTGTGTCTTCCAGCATAGTCTCAAGAACATGGAGGACAATACAGGAGAAAGGAAGTAACTTTAGGAGAGATGGACAGGCCTGTTGGAGGTCTTCAGTCCATCAGCAGGAGTGGTATCTTCTCCTTTTGGAATAAGCCCTACAAAGTAACCTCCATCAGGCAGGAATGTATGTTCCTGACCAAACCATAAGAAACAGACTTTATAAGGATGTTTGAAGGGCTTTAGTCAGACTTGTGCGAAATGTTATTCGCTAGAAAACACTAGAATTGGCAGGTTTGCCCTGACCTAATCCTCATCTGACAGATGAAATTGGGTGAAAAGAAGCTGAGGTGACCCTCACGCTGTGTGCAGGATTGCTTTACATGATAGGTTTGGTGGTAGACGTTGTATTGGTCTGGGTAGGTATAATCAGAGAGCGAGGCCCAGACCCCTAAAGGACTACCAGGACTGCCATCAGGTATCGGGATGAACTCCTCCGACCAACAGTCAGACCCTTTATCAGTGCAGGGAGTTCTGGGTTCATGATAATGCATAATAACACCTGTCCTCATGTGACAAGAGATTACAAGCAGTTTATGGAGGACAGAGGTGTTGTAGCACTGACTGACCTAAAATCAATCGAACATTTCTAGAACATCCCATTTAGGTCAATTGATATTACCCGGTGGCATCTTAGACTGTCCAGGAGCCCAGCAGTTAGCTAGTGAGGGTCTGGAAAGTTAAAAAGGACCCAGAACATCATCTGTTCAGCAGCCCTTAGGGGGCCATAGAAAGTACTCAGTACAGCAATGACATTTCAGCAAATTGAACCAGCCTGCTGCATCAGTTGTCAGTGACATTATATTAATCCCTCTGAGGGTTAATGATTTTCATCAAATGATGTGGCATCGCTACGTAGCTAAGACACTATCCGTTTCATAACAGTATGAATATCCATCTGATGAGTTTTCCAAGGTGTTCCTTTAAGTTTCCAAGAATTGCTCATTATTTTCCTTAGCCTTTTCAGGTTATATATATCTATTCCCTCACATAAATATCTACAAAAATATTTCACAACCGGCTGGGCAATATGGCTTACAATAAAGCCTCATTTCAAATCAGTTAATCAATTTTTTTCTCGTTTTGTTTCATGAAAGCTAATTACAAAATCTTGCTCTTAGAGAAAATCATCCCTTCTGGGAGTTGACCTGAATTCAAAGTGCAACTAACAGCAAAGCATGCTTGTCGAATAAGCTGGCTGGCCCTGCTGTTGCAAACAGTGAAAAAAAGTTAGCAGCTAGTGGTGTTATACATTTAGCCTGATTACTAGTTTTAAGGTTACTTTTTAGGAGTAAAAAGGAAGAGACTGATGTGAACTATGGAAGCCTGAGGAGCATATTTTCAGAGGATTTGATCTTTTAAATGCCAAATTCTAATGAATGGATAAAACAGATTTTAGCTCAGAATTGGTTTCCTTCTTTTAATTCTTAAAGGACTATTTATCTTTTTTCCTCAAATGTAGCTTACCTCACAGTTTTCTGTGATCTCAAAAACCGATGGGATAGTTTGAAAAAATATCGATTGTATTTTTATATTCAGTTACATGGTCAAGTACACAAAAAACAAATAATTTAATTCTTAAAGCGGTATCTCTGTGGTTTAAAGGGGGCAAGGCAGGTTTGTAGACCATTGAAATAATTTACAACAGCTAAAGATTGAAATATATATGCCTTATAGTACATTATTACATTTGGTAAGCTATTTATTAGATGAGTAATTAATTATTTAAGAAAAAGGATTATCTATATATCTTATTTAGGCAGAATTGGCATCTAAACCCACTACTCCTTCTTGCCTGCACCTTCGCCTCTGCTACAGGTAGATGTTTTTGACTGATTATTGAAATACTGATGGTTTTTATGTGTAAGATAAAATGATTCAATCTAATAAAGGACAGAAAATCTATGGAGCCTGGAGTAGAGTCATTGCTCCTCCACATTACAGATGCCTCCTGGTCACCTCATCGGGAGGTGTTCCAGGCATGTCCCATTCGGAGGAGGCCAAGTGGAAGGCCTGGGACACACTGGAGGGACTCTGAGCTGGCCTAGTGTCGCCTCGGGGTCCCCCCCCAGAGCAGCTGGATTAAGTGTGTGTGGATCAGGATGTCTGAGTATCTTTGCTTAGACTGCTGCCTCCGCGTCCCGGACCCGGATTGGCGGAAGAAAGTGAATGGATGGATGTATGTAAGGTTTGAAGGGACAAAAAATTTTAGTTTGTACAGAGCAGTGGCGGTTGCTGCTCTCTGAAACAGTAGAGGCTCATTGGTGCTAATTAAATCCAAACATCATGTTTTGCATTAACAAATCAAATGAAAATATCTGGTGTGAAGCGCTCTGAAATAATAAAACTCCAGAAACCATGGCAAGAGTTCAGCACTAAACGATTGGTCTGTCTGAGAGATCTCTTTCCCTCTCCATGAGGAAACCCTCCTCCTTGTCTGGTCACAGTCAGTCAAAATTTCTAAAGTATGTTTGCCAATCAGCATCAAGCAGCCAGCTTCAAGACCCGCCCCTAATAGGCCACCTAATAGGTTTAGCCTCACAGAAAGTGACGTATTTTGGCTTGTCTTGGCGGAGGCTCAAACCTAAACAGGGATTTCTCATAGAGGCTGACAGGCAGCGTCCTGCTGCTACAGAGCGAAGGGTAGATGGTGTCCAAGCGCAGAATAAACCGCTGATTGATGCACAACATACTCACGAAATCAGGCACATATCTAATACAGTTTGATAACTACATATATGAAGTTTGAAAATTTATATTTTACCAAGAATTTTACTAAATTTATAGGGGAGGCTTAGCCTTCCTAGTATTCAATGAGAAATCACCACTGTTACGTTATATACTTCTCTTAAACTCTTACATATATTGAAGAGATAAAGCCAAAACACAATGGTAAACAGATAGTAGCACATTGTCGAGAAACCAACTTTACATGTTCAGGTACTGAAATGTTTCCCTTCACAGTTTTTCCTCCAGAATTGTGGTTCATTTATCTTAGACCATTAACATGACCCTGCTGAGTGTCAGAATCCCCTCAACATGATGCTGCCACCGCTATGCTTCACTGGGGGAATGGTGTGTTTTCCACCAGAGTTAGCTGTTTGCGTGTAGAACTTTACTGCCTTTTACACTCTTTAGACTTTAGGCTGTAAAAGAGTCAGCAAAATTTGTTCTGCTTTCCAACAATTTCTTAGTTATATAACACTTGAAAAGAGATACAATAAATGAAAGGTTGTCTATGAAACCCTAAAAAATATTTCCCTTGGTCTTCGACTTAAATCCTAATAACATATGCAAACACCTTTTTTTTTTTTTTACCTGCAAGCCAGGAGAAAGCTGAGGGTGTCAGAAAATATTTGCAATCCAATGTAGCTTAAAGTCTCAGTTTATAATTATCACTGTCTCGCTACTAACACAGGTATGCAGGTTTATAATATAGAGGGAGTAAGGGGCTTTTATTAATAGCAATCGGGTACTAAGAATAAAAAAAGACATGCAGCAACTATCTTGAGGTTGGAGAATGAGCCCCAGGCATCTGAATTGACACCTTCATGTATGGAGAGATGCCAGATCTACCACAACACCAAATCTACAAGAAGATGTTTGCTTCGTGAGTGTTACTTAGAAAAAAAAACCTGGCCTCTCTTACAAGCGTCTCACTTGCATTGTAAATGGATGATCCATATTCATGCCCACTACAAGCATCTCTTAGTTTCCTTTTGCCAGATAAAGCTTATTAAAATGAAAGACCCTGTTGTCCATTTGTGAGATCCTCATCAACTGTTAGCTGGAGCAGCTCCAAAGTGCTCTTTGTGAATTCCTCATCCTATTCTCACCATCATTACTCAGAACAAAATCCAATTGTGAGCTGACCCTTCATGTATGCTCAGCGTTTTTATGTTATGTGGATAGGATCTTTTACACTTTTTCGTATGTAATGGGTATCCTGCTGTTGACAAGCAACTTGATCCTCTGGTAAACCCAGCTGAGGTATTTTAACAGTTATGGAACACTGCCATCTTCCTTCTAACTGGAAAACTACAGCTCCAACCAACCACACTCTCATAAAAAAGCACATATGTCTGTGATCAGAAAACATGTAGCCCCGTAACGATGACTGTTAAATGCTTTTGTTTCTGCACATATTGCTTACTTTACTCTATAGGAATCCAGCTAATGATGATTGCTCTTAAGTAAACTTTGTTGCTCAATACATTGTCTTACAAATAATTTTCCCTCATGAACTTTTTCACACTACATCATAATTTAACAACGAAACTCACTGCATTTTAATGGTAAAGTATTTTTTTTTTACACAGATGTTAAAACTTGCATTTTTATTAATAACCTTTCACATTGATGACTTAAGTAGAAAAAAAGTGCTGTAATCCACTTGTCAAAAACAATAAAACATTTTTAGAGCATTGAACATCCACAGCACTTCTTACTTGATGATCTGAACATGCTAATCCAGCCATTATGCACCGTCCAATTAAACCCACACACTGCATAAGGAAAGCAGGAATCAGAAAAGCACAGAGTAACCAGGTCTTGGTCACTCTGAAGGAGCTGCAGAGATCCACAGCTTTGGTGGAATTGATCAGACTGAACAGCTGTTAGTCATGCATGTAAATAATCTATGAGAAACAAAAAAAAGTCCTTTTTTCCCACTTCACAATTATGCAAAAATGTATCTTTAAGTGGAAATAGTTTTGCAAAGCACTATAAGCTAGATGCTGAATATTTTGTTTCTTACACAGGCCATTGATCTTAATGTCAGCTAATTTATTTTTCTTTATCTACAAACTTTCGTTTACCAATTTAAATGAAGAGTAATGAAGACAAATTGGAAACCTATGATGTGAAAACAATGTTACTCATTTCTTAACTTTTTCAGAATGTGGAGAAAACTTTTTTGCCTTCTCAGACTCCTAAACTGCCCTCCTCCCAGACACCCCTTTTAACTCCTCTAGGGCAGCGGCCCCCAACCACCGGGCCGTGGACCGGTGCCGGTCCGTCGGTCATTTTGTACCGGGCCGCACAGAATAATTTATCAACGATCAGAGTCTAAGTGATGTTTTATTTTGAAAAATATAAAAAATTGCGGTATTCTCTCCCAATTACATCAGTCGGTGCATCTGTGCCTCTTGACACAGGTTAAGACTCATCCTATCTATAACATCCTATCTTTGTGAAGCGTGATTTTCTGCGGTTACAGCGACCAAAACACAGCTACGGAGCAGACTGGACATAAGGAGCACACTTCGTGTGTCATTGTCTCCGATTACGCCTCGATGGGACCGGCTTGTTTTATTTTTATGCTGTTTGTATTTGATTTTATGTCTGTCGTATCATTTTGCTTGATCGTATTTACCCGCCCGGCCAGTCTGCGCGAGGGGTGGGGTGTATTTCAATACAATCAAGTAAAAAACGGTCCAAAGGAGAGACCCCTGGTCCTCCTCCTGGTGGGACACGCCTGGAACACCTCCTAAAGAAGGCACCCAGGCAACTTCTGAAACTCCTCTCCTCTTGATATGAAGGAAAAGCAGCTCTACTCCAAGCCTCTTTTGGATGGCCAAGCTCCTCGCCCTATCTATAACATAGTGCCTAGTCGCCACGTAGAGAAAGCTCATCTCAGCTGCTTGATCTGGGATCCTCCTTTAGTTGTGGATCCAGATTTCATGGTATTAGGTAAAGGTAGGAACGTAGGCCAAGCAGTCAATCGAGAGCTTTTCCTTTTGGTTCAGCTTTCTCTTCATTACAACAAACTGGTGCAGCATCCAGATTATAAGGGAAGTCTATTGACTCCATTCTTCCCTCATTTATGATGAAGAAGAACCCAAAATACTTGAACTCCTCAACATGTGGCAGCCTCTAGCCTGAATAGGGTCTCTTTCACTAGCTTCTAGCTATGCTTATTTTTGTATTCAGATTTATTTTGTTTTTTCTTGCAGGTGAGAGACCCTACAAATGCCCCCACTGTGACTACGCCGGCACTCAGTCTGGCTCACTGAAGTACCACCTCCAACGACACCACCGGGAGCAACGCAATGCCTTATCAGCTTCCTCCAATTCCTCCTCTGGCTCCACTTCCAGCATCCACACATCTGGCACCCCTGGACTAGTCAAGCAGCGTCGTTCTCAACTCAACCACAGCCCAATTAATCGAGGCACAGCTGATATGCCCACTTCGCGGTCCGGTCAGCAATCCTGGCTCCTGGGCCTTCCAGACCAACGTGAGCATCGTAAGGCTCTGGCAGCTCTACGGGATGTTGACCTGGAGACCCAGTACAGGTATCTGTCTGGGGTTATGGGGGCACTGTACCAAGGAGGAATGGAAGGAGGTTGGATCAGGGGATCCCCACCACCAAAGACTGCTAAAGTTTCCCGGCGTAAACCTCTCACGACTAGTCGAATGGTTCAACCACAAAATGATAACGATGAGCAAAAGCCATCAGCTACGGAGGGAGGATTTGAGCCTTTGGATCTTTCCCGACGCACCTCCCCCAGCCATGGTGGGATAGAGGAGAATGAAGGCACTAGTGCAGCAGAAGACGGGGTTGTGTTTGGTGTAGATGGTGAAAAGGATAGCACAACAGGGGTCAAACTTAGCCAGTGTTTGTTCTGCCCTTTCCATACATCATCAGCAGAGTTGATGGCCATGCATATCCAGGTCAACCACACAAGCAAGTCCAGGCGTAAGAGGGTCTCCTCTACTCTCCTGGATGACGACAGAGCCCAAAGGGCCTCCAAGCCACGAATGGATACCTCTGACCTTGATCCTCTTACAGGATGGAGGCACGTGAGTGAGGATGAACCCTTGGCCCCTGTGGGCCACTGGTCCTCCTCTCAGCACTATATTCCAAACGGTCACCCTGAGGATACAGCAGATCATCAGTGGGATGCTTCTTATCATCAAGACTCGATGTCCTCAGCGACCAAGAATGTAAGAGAGGATCCTGCTGTCAAGGAAAAGACAGCGGAAGAGAAAGAAATGGATATGGAATTTGAAGAGAACATGGAGAGCAGCAGCGTGGAGGATTTGCAGGATCGAGATCTGAGGATGTCGCTTGACCTTTCACCACCTGTGAGCCCTAACCGCATGGCAGAGGAGGACGAAAAGGTCCTAACAGATTAAAAACGCCTCTGCGTTTTCAGCTGTATATGTGATGGAACTAAAAAAGGGAATGTGACAAGAAAGCATCCCTTCATAATTTAATTTATGAGAGAACATAGAGTCTTGAAGAAAAACAGAGGGGAAAAGAGCTGCTTTAATGTTCCTTCTGGTATGAATTGTCTATTTTCTTTGTAACAGTTTAATCCTCTAAAAAATACACTAATATCCCTGTAATATCTAAGGAGCATGGACACAACTTTTCAGATTTTTGTAGGCCACATTTTGTATTCTTCCCCTTCCAAGAATAACTCCAAGCTTGAGGCTTTTCAGGATCATGTCCTATTCAACAAACGTCTACGTCTACTACCATCATTCCAGAGTCACAAACCATTGGATATACTGTTATAAGGGCAGTGTATTCCTGACTAGTACAGCGAGTGAGCTGAACAGGTAACTCTCCTGACTGACCCCTGAACAGTTTAATGCTGTCAACTTCAGCTTCCTCCTCAATCAACTGAAAATTTTAAGATATTTGGCATTAATTTAAGGCATGAGGTGACTGTTTCCTCGTCTGTGTATCACTGCCTTTTTTCTCGGCTGTTTATTGATTACTGTCCTAAAAAAACTCTGAAAGGAAGGTTTGTATTTTTATTTTATTTTTTATGTCGTTGGTGTAATCAGTTAGTGCCTGTTCATGTACATGTTGTTCGAAAGAGTCTCTGGTGTCACCCGAGTCTCACATAGGTTGCTCATTTTATCGGAATATACAGTTTCAAATGATTTAAATACAATATATTTGTTAAAAGTGGTTCTAGGGTGTTGTGAATAGTTGTAAAAGAAATGCTACGTCATAGCGTAATGTTCTCGGCACAAACTGTAGCTGGTTTGTGGCTCATTTTAAAAAGTATTCTTTTTTTTTAAGTAGGCAATGATGAAATGTTTAAAGACCACAAGATAGAAATTTGTCGGCTTAGAATTCCCTACTCACAATGGAATTGAGGTTGAGGTCCATCGTAGTGAACGAATAATTAATCATGGGTTTGTTTTAGGGCTGTAGGGGGGCGATATTGACCTCTCTTCCACAATCAGTTGGCACATTGTTTCTAAAAAAAATTAAAGGTGTCACAAAAAAGCATTTAGTTGAGATAGAGGGTAGAAAAGGAGAGATGAATAGAATCGCTGCCAGACAAGACTAAATTCAAGAAATAAGTTGTACTTTTGGGTTATGTCTTTTAGGCAACTAGAATCCTTCTCTTTTTTTTCTGTAAAAAAGGAAAAGACAATGGTAGGAGTAATTATTAAAACACTAACACATGCTTAGACATCCCAGTAGTATATGTGTAGCTTTTGTAAAGACAAGAAAAGAAAAACCCACAGACCCTTTTGTTTATTTTCATTTCAAGATGCTTACAGAAAAAGGTTATCAATATAGGTATTATTGATTATAATGTTTGTGAGCTAAGACTAGTTGGAATGTCTATACAGAGCACTGTGCAAGGTTTGAGTTCCCAAAGTAGTTGTTTTTATGTTGACTCTATCAATAGACCAAACTTTTTGTTTCTCCAATGGCAGTTTTTGTTGTCATTTAAATGTGTAAGTGTGTGGTTTGAGTAGATTTACCCCATCAATTAGCAAAGAGAAGCAGCGTAATCAAAGTTTAAGAGCCTAAATCATTAATGCTATAAAGCGCTAACTAAAATAATATTTCAAAGATTGTGAATACATAGCGAATAGATAGCACTGGTTGAAGCATACTAATTATTTTCTTATTTGATGGGGTATAGGGCTTTTGGAGTGATATCAGAGCAAATGTTGGCATAATTCTGCATCAGCATCAGTACACATCTACATTAAAAATATACTACCAGATATTTCTAAAGAGTTTTCTAAATATATTTTGTGTTTACAAGGAGGCATCAGACATATTTGATCCTACACATACATTTACAGTGGATTATATTTTGACATCACTCTTATGCCATGGCGTTTTGTGCGTACAGCAGTGAGCGGTAGTGATTATGCTAACACTAGCTTGCTTCTTTGTGGGTGACTTGTACACTTATTTTTGCTAACATTTCCAAGAAATGGTCCCACAATGCCAAAATTAGTTTCTGTTTATGGAATTTAAAATGCAAATGTATATATATATAATATGTACATACATATATATATATATATATATATATATATATA